TATTGCTCCTAATTTTCCAAAGAAATCTCTTATAACATCTGGATTAGCTGATAGAGCTCTGCAATGAGATAGTGGCTGAGGTGTACGAATTGTTAGCATAGGATGTCGTTTTCGAAAACCATCAAACCACGAACGACCTGCCGAGTCACCAGTAAAAGGATGTTTTTTTATTAAACTTCTCAGCTATAACAAAGGCTAAATGCATTACAGTTTCTCTTGTTAATCCATAACCCATGTCTGCCATCATAATCAAATATTCACATAATTTATCTTCCTCTTCTTTCGACAAGACTGTTGCAGGGCCCGGTTTACAGTCAACACTAACAGTACCATTCGTCCTTCTCCGCAACGTCTCAACAGGCACATTATATAGTCTCGCCGATTCCCTTAAACCTTTCCCTTCCTCTGTAACACTAATCACTGCTGCGTGCATGGACTCATCGGTCCATAGCTTCCTCAGACTTTTGAGGACATGCGGCCATTAAGCCTCGGTTAACCTAAATAGTATAGATTATAAACTAGTATTTTCTTTGAAGCATTATATATATCACTTACATACAATGCCAGTCACATTAGAGACAGAAACAGCCTGGAACAAAGTCTCCAAACACTCACACAGACTCGAGCAGACAACACACTAGGACCGTAGTAACTCGCAACGTGGTCATTATTAGTAATTATTACCTTAGTAGGCGTGATTTCAATAAATAAAATTTTAGAAAATTAGTTTTTAGTAAAAAGCTGCGTTTATTCAAACTATCTGTGCAAGAAAATTATAAGTCAGGTAGCAAAGAAATTGTAAGCAAGAGCTTGTTTCAATTCAAAGGTTTGTCTCATAATGTGATCTGTCTCATTACTCACGCATATACTCTATAGCTTTAAAAAGAGCTATGGTTATCAGCCACCCCCTTTTGTTATTGTAAGAACAATGAATATCATCTTTTGGGTTATAATTTCAATGAATATAATTATAAGGGCACTTTGATGGTAGGGCCCAGGCCCCCTCAGGCCCTACCTCAGCTACGCCCCTGCTTCTCTCTCTTCTGTTTTGTTTGGACATCTCTCATTATCACTTCTAAAGGCCTTCATACACGAGGCAACTTGTTGCTAGCAACCAAGCAACATGTTGCCAAAAATAGAACAGCCTTCTATTTCTGGCAACATGTTGCTTACAAGATCAAAGTAACCACAAAGTTGCCAGCAACATGTTGCCTAGTGTATGGAGGCCTTAATCGTTCTATTAACGACTCTTTGAGTCCTATTATTGAAAGAGATTGTTTATTAACAAATATTAGTTTGGTTATAAACCAACAGTGG